TGTAAGTAGCAGGCCTTTAGCCGGGGTTTGAAATTTTCTCCTCTGGGTATGTCCCAAACCGGCTAACGCAAACCAAAGTTTTCTAAATTTGGTACTTTGTGTAAGTGTCCCTTAAAAGATTTTAGATATGGCCATCAAAATCAAGAAATCGATATGGTCGTGTTTTCATTGTTCTTCATTGCAAAAGGTTTGGCCGATTCGGAATATCTTTTTCGACTCCTGTAATTTTATAAAACCCCTTAAAATTTTTAATATTGAGTCAAAAGCGAGGTACCCCCATTTTGGCCGTTGTAAATGATAGGCTCCATCTGGAGTCATATATTCATATAGAAATGAAGTCAACTCCCTCACGCCCATTCATAACAATTCTAATAGTTCTGAGAACTCGAATTAGATTATCTATTTTCTCCCAACATGTTTGACATCACCACACCTCCAATATTAGGTAATAGATAATATAACTTTTCGTATAAATACCCCTTCTATAAATTCAATAGCTTATATCCCATAAACTGCAAGAGCAAACAATGTTCGTCATAAAAAAACGATACCCTGATAACAACTTATTCCCACAGAACAATTACTGAACCGATTTATGGTGTAACACAATCAGAAATAGCGCAGTCACACATCTACGTCGATATTATCTTTATTGGAAACAAACAATGCAAACAATATCGTAACACTTAAAATAAAAACAAATCCAATTTCAAATCAAAATTTATGGCAGAATATTATTATGGTCGATCGATCGATCAAAATAGAAAATCAGATAGCCAAAGCAATGCATTAGCAACGGCCAATTAAAACTAGAACAATCTCACAAATATGCTTGTGAAGCTATGGCAAAATATTTAGATATTTGTCGGATGAACCTGAAACAAATGCGGGCCGTGTTGGCCAGATGTGTGGAAGATGTTGCCGCGGCAGGTTTACATTTTAACACTCACTCTCACAGACAAGTGGACGACGACGACGACTCCATTTGGCCCACTGGCCGAAAACTGGAACTGGGTCAGCAATGTTGTTGGCTTGTTGTTCCTGTTGTGGCTACTATGGCCGCTGCTGCAACCCCAATGCCATTCATCATCGGCATAATCGTCTGATGTGGTGCGGTCCGGTCTGATGTAGTCTGGTGTGGCATTGAGATCATCTGCCTTCAATTTACCACAAAACAAACATGATTGGGAAAAACGAAAGAAAAACCACAATCAAGGAAAACCAGTTGAGGGGAAACCAGGCAAACCACCGCAGCGGTGGTAGCATCGTTTCGACAGAGAAGAATAAGAAAATGGAAAATGGATAGACAATTGTGGCGGGGACATACATATGCACAAACATACATACATGGGATTTAATTGAATATTCTTGATAGAGCAACAGGTAATGGAGAAAAACAAAAAACGGGATACTCATATGTCTATGTCGGTTTCATAGACATACGAGTACCCTAAGAATATGACCCTCTATTTTAATTGCCATATTAATGGATCGTACTCCAACCAACATATAATCACACATTCTGTGCCGACGTTGCTCATTACTTATTAGATTCACATCTGCAGTTCATATATGGACTTTTTTAGTACTCAAAATGCACAATTTATGTAGCTTGACAAATTTTTTAATCAAAACTTCGTACAACCATTGTACAATGGACCCACAACCAATTTTTCTGTCCAAAACTATTAATACGTCTCCATAAGTAAACCCTATAAACCAACAGTGGCCTCGATAAAAAATTTCAGAATTGTAACCTATCCCTTCAGCCGATACCAAATTTTATTACATATAGTACTTTTCGAACAATTATAGTACGGATTTGCACAACCACCACCAGTCCAGCTCTATACATTTCGGAAGTCCAGCTCTATACATTCACTCAATACCATAATGTTGTTAAATTAAATACTTTTGAAACAATTATAGTACACATCTGCAAACCCATTCCATATCTCAATCCTAGAGACCAACAGTTATACCAATATAAAATTTCACGATTTTAGCTCTATCCCCTCACCCAATACCAAATTTAGTTCAATTTAGTACTTTTGAAACAATTATAGTACTGATTTACAAGACCTGCTCCTTCTCTTCAACACAGACACCAACAGTGACATCCATACCAAATTTCAGGATTTTAGCTATATTCCTTTACTCAATACCAAATTTAGTAACATTTAGTACTCTTCGTACAATTTTAGTACACGTTGGCAAAACCGTTCTATCCTAGACACCAATAGTTATCACAATATTAAATTTCAGTATTTAGTACAAATTTCAGTATTTTTGTACGATTAACCAACTGAGATCTTAATATCAAATTAGAGGATCCCATCTCTATCATTTACCCAATCCAATCCAATTTAGTACCACTCAGTACTTTTCGAACGGCTATAGTTCACAGTTTCAAAACCACCTCCATATCTTATCCACAGACACCAACAATGACATGTATATCAAATTTCAATATTCCCGACCTATCACCCAATACCAAATTTAGTACCATTTAGTACTTTTCGTACAAATGTAGGACGTATTTCTAAACCACCTCTAAATATCAAACACAGATACCATCAGTAATTTAATATCAAATTCCAGACTTTTATATCTATCCCTTCAACCAATACCAAATATAGAACCATTTAAAACTTTGCCTACACATTGTCTCATATTTCAAGTACTAACAAATTGTTCAAAATATAGTACAATTTCGTACTTTTCGTCCACTTGTAGTACACTTTTCCAAAAACACCTCCATATCTCAATTCCAGATACCAACAGAAGCCGCAATATAAAATGTCAGTATTCCAGACCTATCCCTTCATCCAGTACAAATTTAGTACCGTTCAGTACGCGTATAAGTATGTGCGGATTTCCAAAACCTGCTCCATATCTCAATTCCAGATACCAACAGTGACATCCATATCGAATTTCAGTATTTCGGCTCCATTCCTTCACCCAATACTAAATTTAGTACAATTTTTAGTACTTTTCGTGCACTTGTATGGCGCATTTTCAAACCACCTCTTAATCTCAAACACAGAGGGCATCAGTAATCTAAATATCAAAAATTAGAATATTTTCTCTATCCGTTCACAGAATACCAAATATAGTACCATTCAGTACTTTTCGTACACATATAGTACACAGTTTCAAACCCGTGATATGTCTAGTCAAAATATGAACAGCCCCCCTTATACAAAATTTCCGATTTGAAGCACTATCTCTTCGCCCAATAGCAAATTGTACCAAATATAGTACAATTTCGTACTTTTCGTCCACTTATAGTACACATTTTCCAAAACACCTCCATATCTCAATTACAGATACCAACAGAAACCTCAATTTAAAATGTCAGTATTCCAGACCTATCCCTTCATCCAGTACAAATTTAGTACCATTTAGTACTTTTCGTACAAATGTATGCGTATTTCCAAAACCTGCTCCATATCTGATTTCCAGATACCAAAAGGGACATCCATATCAAATTTCAGATTTCAGCTCCATTCCTTTACCCAATAACATATTTAGTACTATTTAGTACTTTTCGTGCACTTGTATGGCTCATTTTCAAACCACCTCTTAATCTCAAACACAGAGGGCATCAGTAATCTAAATATCAAAAATTAGAATTTTTTCTCTATTCGTTCACAGAATATCAAATATAGTACCGCTCAGTACATTTCGTACAATTATAGTACAAATTTCTGAAACCATCTCTCTACGTCCAGTCTTCATATGAACGACAACTCTAATACCAAATTTCATATTTCACCCAATACCAAATTGTACCAAATATAGTACTATTTAGTACTTTTCAGGCACTTGTAGTACACATTTCCAAAACCACCTCTTTATCACAAACAAACCACCAACAGGAACCCCAAAAGATTTCACAATTCCATCTTCATCCGTTCACCCTAAACCAAACTTTTCCAAATTTAGTACCATTTAGTTCAGGTCGCATATTTAGTACCCATTTCCGAATTTCATACCAAATTTCATGTTTTTAGCTCTCTCATGCCAAATTTATACTTTTTCAGCACCAAATACAAAATTGTACCAAATAGGGCACTATTTCCTACTTTTTGTACAATTATAGTACACATTTTCGAAACCACCTCCATACGTCCAGGCTACACATGAACAGCAACACTAACACCAAATTTCAGATTTCAAGCACTATCTGTGCACCCAATACTAAAATGTGGCAAATATAGTACTATTTAGTACTTTTCGTGCACTTGTATGGCGCATTTTCAAACCACCTCTGAATCTCAAAAACACATATAACATCAGTAATCCAAATATCAAAAATCCGAATTTTACCTTATCCAAATACCAAATTTAGTACCATTTAGTACTTTCCGTACAATTATAGTACACATATTAGAAACCACCTTCATAGGTCCAGGCTACACATGAACAGCGACACTAACACCAAATTTCATATTTCTAGCACTATCTTTTCACCCTATATCAAATTGTACCAATATAGTACTATAACGTACTTTTCCTGCACTTGCAGTACACATTTCCAAAACCACCTCTTTTTCAAAAACCTACCACCAAGAGAAACCCCAATCCAAATTTCATGATTCTACCTTCATATGTTCACCTTGAACCAAACTGTTCCAAATTTAGTACTATATAGTACAGTTCGCAAACATAGTACACATTTGCAAAACCACCTTCATATATAAAACTTATATTTCCAACCTTGATTCTCATTTAAATTTTCAAGTTTTCACCTCTAGCCGTTCTAATATTACCCAATGGTACCATTTTAGAAGTTTAGTACAATTCTAGAACTTTTTGTAATTCCAAAAACATTTTGATACATCTATTCTGCACTCCATCAGCTACTCTCATTCCAAATTTAGGATTCTAGCTCATGCCGTTTTTCAAATACAATTTATTCAAGTTTTAGTACATTTTAGTACTTTTTGTACCATTTTAGCATGAATGTCTAAAACCCAGCCTGAATTGACACCTTCGGAGCAAGAGTGACTCTCCCCCTTAGTACTTAGTACAATTTCCCAAAACCACCTTCATATATCAAACTTACTCTCCGACCTTGATTCTCATACCAAATTTCAAGTTTTTAGCTCTATCCGTTCACATAATACCAAATGGTACCATTTTCGAAATTTAGTACAATTTTAGAACTTTTCGTAACCATTCGAAGTTCGAATTTCTAACTTCTATGATGCACTCCATCAGGATTCTAATTCCAAATTTCAGAATTCTAACTCATTCCGTTTGTCCAATACAATGTCTTAAATTTTTGGTACATTTACGTACCATTTTAGTACGAATTTCCAAAAACCAAGCCTTATCCGACGCCTCGACTGGTATTGCCACAAGAACTTTTTCAGGTATTCTACAGACAGACATCTTTCTAAAGTGTGCAATTGGTAGAAGACCTTCTGTAGGTCTTCTGCATACTAATAGGCCTTCTCCAGAGTGTATATAGGTTCTACAGCTTACTGTAGACATATGGCTCTCCAATGGTCTCTTTAGACCAATCTGGTCTTCTATGCACAGAAAGACCCTACATATACACCTATATATAGCTTTAGCCTTTTGTAAAGTCAATTTCCGATGAAAGACCTGCCTCTGGAGTATAAATAAAATTCGAATACTACCAACCCACCAATAATAGAGTCATTGCACGCACTCCTAGTGATTCCAAGGTAACCTTCAAACAGCCACAAAAACAAGTCTTTATTTTGTGTCGGAGAAAAGAAAGTTAATCCAGTTGCAAACAGAATGGAGCAAAAATTACTGCAACAGACGCGTTTGCGCTTAGTAGCCATCAGCAACTCCAAGTGTACCGAACGCCATAGAAATCAGGCGGAAAGCGAACAACGAACTACACTTCAAAAGGATTATTAGAAATAGACAGAGGAAGAAACCATAAAACCCAACAACTTAGCAGACACTTCCACCTCCAACCAACCGTTGGCTAATTTATCTCGATCGTAATGCGTGGGACGTGTGTGGAACTTATTTGTGTGGTGGCTGCTATTATGGCAGCTATACTTATCGGGCCCTCAAACCAATTCGAAGGGGAGAAACAACAGCCAATTCCAGAACCCTCCACGATCGCTGCTGCCATAAACAGCAGTGGCGAAGAGGCAAAAGCAAACGGAAGTGAGATCGACAACACCAACGCCTCTGGTGGCGGGAGTGAAAGTCGAAACTATTTCAAAACATCACCCCCAACATCCGGCAGCAGTATGACAGTGGCACAATTTCGTAGCTCAATACCGATGCGTATTTACGAATGTTTACGTGATTTTAGTACGTTACGTTGCACCAAGCTGTTCGTTTTGCAAAAACTGGAAGAACGTAAGAATTGGAGCAATACAGGTAATCTGACCAAAGATTTTCTCAATCAATTCTTTGGCGAGGAAGATAAAATGGCCAGTTTGATTTCGGAAAAATTTCGTAAACTCAGCGACAAGGAGTTGAACAAGAAGTTGGTGCTCAGTTTACAAAGATTCTTTAAGAATCGTGATATCAAATTGCAATTTCTGCCCGGGCTGATGGTGAAAGTCATACCCAGCAAGGATAATAAATTGAAATTGAGTTTTAAGAAGAGTAGGTCGGATTCTGACTTTAATATGGGATTGAAAACAAATTTCGGATTTTGTATTTTTTTTAGAAAACAAACAAAAGTATGACGCTCGTGCCCAGGACACCTCCATCTTGGCTGGTTCACTCAACGATCACAACATGCTGGGCAGCAGTCTGGACAGCAGTCTGGAGGGCCATGGTAATCTCAGTTTGGAAGATGAGGAAGGTGATGGAAAATCGAAACATAAAAGTCCCAAAAAGAAAATCAAAAAGGACAAGACTTCGTATAAGACAACCATACTGAAGATGGCCGTGCCGGTTATGGTAAGTTCGAATGTGGATTGTGGGTTATTTTTATTGGAATTTTATTTTCTTCTTCTTCAGATGATGCCAGCCATCCTCATGGGCACATTCCTACCATTTATTCTCCCCGTTTTGAAAATGGCCACTCTCACCACCATGATCATGAATAATACCGCCTTTATGGCTGCCTTGATTTATGCCGCCCGCACTCATGTCAATGCCCAGCAGGAACAACCAATTAATTACAGTTATGGCAGTCATCCCATTGGTTATCACTGAATCTGGGCAGGCTGTATTTTTTGTTGCAAATTCAAATCTTTGAAAAATGATTTAATTGTAAAAAAAAATAAAAATTTGAGTGCTACTTTATTTATGTACCGATTTTCGCATAAAATGTTCTGAGATGTATTCCACATATCCCTATTTCATTCTGAAGTCATCGAAAACATTTTTCAACTTTTATGGGGAAGGTACAGGAATAAGAGGACCGAACTCATTTTTGTACCTCCCCCACGAAACTCAAAAAATTCGGAAGAAAAAAATTATAATACGTATACCTCGCATAAAACGATATAGTCCAAACTTAGACCGTGGTACTATTAAAGGGTGTCCCAACTAGAACACAATTTTATTAATTTGGCGCCATTCGAAGTGTCATTATTTGTCATTTGAACAATTTTAGTTAGAAACCAGTAAAGAAAACTTTAAAGTCGGGCGGGGCCGACTTTAGGATACCCTACACCACTTTGCTAATTTAGTAGAGCTCCACATAACAATTAAACGTTTTTATGGGAGAGTTCAATCATACACGCTACGATTATAATTTAAAGTTCAAAAGACTCAATATGCCGAAGCATTTGTATCTTTTAAATTCGGACTTTTATTGCCCATTTGGTGCACAATTAATTTGAAATAGGATAAAGATATATATGGGAGCTATATCCAAATCTGAACCGATCTCGATAAAATTTGGCAAAGATATTGCTGAGCGGTATTTGAAATATTTCCCTGAATATCGTTGTTACGGAGTGCATATTACGGCTGTGGGTAACAAATATAACAAATCGGATTAACATTATATATGGGAGCTACAGCTATATCTGAACCGATCTTCACCAAATTTGACATAATAGCTTCTAGACTCAATTCGGTCGTAAGTGCCAAATTTCATCCCATTTGGACAAATATTAGACGTTTGGTACACAAAAACGTGTAAATCGGACGAAGTTATATATGGGAGCTATATCCAAATCTGAACCGATCTCGATAAAATTTAACAAAGGTATTTCTGAGCTGCATTTGATATATTTCCCCAAATATTGTTGTTACAGGGTGCATATTACGGCTGCGGAGGACAAAACTAACAAATCGGATGAACAGTATATATGGGAGCTATAGCTATATCTGTAGGCGGATATACAGGGTGGGATGAAAAAACTGAAACCAACTTCAGATTGATGTCATTTCTAAGACACTTGTCCGACAGCTGTTGAAATTATTCCAGTGACAGCTTATTATATTGTTTACAAGTGTGCAAAAGCATTTTGGTGAGAATTTTCTAGCACTCCGACTCGTTTGTGTCTTGTACCATCACTCGTTACTGTGATACTGGAAAATAGCCACATTAGCAGAAATGGTTCGAAAAATAAAGAAGCGACTTAATCGAAATCCGCGTCGCAATGCCCGAAAAATGGCTCGTGAGCTGAACATGTCGCAATATTCCATTCGGCACTGAAATCCACTAAAATCCCAAAAAGTTCAAGAACTTACACCCTATCAGAAAGAAAATAGACTCAAAAGAGCTTAAGAGTTGCTCCGCGCCAACCATTGTGACGGTGTGGGCCGCCATAACAGCCGATGGTCGCTCTCTGCTCGTATTAATCGTATTAATCAGAATAAATGCCGAATATTATCGTGAAAATATTCTGGAGTGTGTATTAAAGCCTTGGGCATGCAATAATTTTGGCCGCAGACATGGACTTTCAAACAGGACTCAGCACCATCGCACTTAGCACGCGCAGCCCATGAATGGTTACAAAATGAGGTTCCTTGCTTCATTTCCAGCTCACACTGGCTAAAATCTCCGGATACCAATCCGTTGGACTATTGTATCTGGAGTATTTTGGAAAGCAAGGTCGGCACTAAAAAAATACCAAAGTGTCGATCACCTCAAGCAAGCGCTTCGACGGGAATGGGCCAAAATACCGCAGAGCAATATTCGGGCATGGTGTGACGGTTTCATTGGCCGTTTGAAGGTCATAATTCTTGCCAGAGATGACTAATTCGAACAAATCTAAATTTATTCTAAAATTTGTTGATATTTCTGACATTTTTTGCTTTCAATCAATACAATTTCAAAAAAAAAATGTAAAAAAATATGGCGTTTAACTTTGTTGCAGTTTTTTCACCTCACTCTATAAATATATTCTTTCCTATATCATAACACTTGTATTGAAATTATTAGGAGAAAATTTTATTATTCGCAGTTTGGAACCTTAAAGGAAGAGGTACCAGAAGAAGTAGACTGCCACATCCAGAATATGTGGATCATTTATAACCTCTAGTGCTATTCTCTTGCTTGTTAACGACAATTGCTCGCTCATATTTTCGACAACTAACAAAAAGACAGGCAAGCAGGCGTACATTGCTAGATCGACTCCAAATGTCCTGAAACGGATCAATGATAGATATTTCGAAATAAACAATTGCAATCTAACCCAAACCCCATTTTTTTTAGTAAATATTTATAAATGAGATTGGTTGATTGATTGAGTGTTCATGTTATCTTTTAAGACCATTAAGACCATGGGTCTACATCAATAAAAATAATAACGATATAACCAAAAAGTTATAAATTTAGTTATTATTTAATTATAAATAATTTATTTTTTTTATTTAGTTATTATTTAATTAATCAAAATGTTGTCTCAGAGATGCTAGGCATCCACAGTTGAGAAGCAATAAAAATAATATTTCAAATGTAACATATATCCAAAAAATATAATTCGTAGCATACTTTCAGGCGCATATAATTAAATCCCAAACCAACAAGTAGCGGTCTTGTTATGGATGAGGGTAGTAAACGTGATTTAAGACGGCCGAAAATGGGCCTCATCAAGATACAATCTCTTGGGCCACATCCGTTTTAAAGCATGAAGACTGGTGCAAACAAACGTTGTTGTAGCAATCCTGTATTTCTATACCCTTCACCATTCTACGGAGGCTGCACTAACTTGGTCATTCCGTTTTCAACTTCTCGTAATGCTCATGATAGACCCTATACAGCCTATGACTAAAAATTACATATGCAGGCACAAATCTTCGCATAGCCCCCCATATAACGATACTTCCAGATATTCGGTATTTTGATGATTTTGCGACATCATTTAGCAGAGTTTTTAAAAATTATTTATTTGAAGTTCGCAATGGATACTACTTCTCATGACAGAAAATTAACTGTTCAGATCCACGTCTTCGTATAGTCCCCATATAAAGGTACCTGCCATTATTCGGTATTTTAATGATTTTAGCTACATTTTCAACAGAATTATCTCAAATTTGGTATTTGAAGTTCCTAATAATCACCATCCTCGCCGACAGAATATTGGCTGTGAAGTACCACGTTTTGGTGTAGCCCCGTTTAACTATAACACCTGATATTCCATTTTTTCTTTAATTTAGCGTTTCTTCCAAATGGAAAAAAATTCGGCCCGGCCGAACTTTTCTGCTAGAAATTACAATAAAAAAGTAACTCAAAAAATTCATAAAATCTTTGTTTATATTTCATGCATACGTTGACAATGACTGTGTCACAAATGGTCGACTGGCTAGTTAAAATTTCGTATACTCTTTCCAACATTTCGGCCGGTATCTTTTGAATAAATGCTTAAATGTTGTCTTCCAATGCGCCAATTGCAACGGGCTCGTCTGTATAGCATCTTTGAATAAGTTCGGTCCAAAGTTTTCATTAGCTCAAAAACCGCACTAAACTGTGAATTATTATCTGTATGCATTAGTAGCTTTTGCAATCCCTCTGGCTGATCTTCAATGTAATCCCTCTGGCTCATCTTCACCCCAATCCCTCTGACTGATCTTCAGTCCATAATCGATGCTTCTGCTTATTTACATTGAGCCAAAAAATGAGCTTCATAATTTAAATTTAATAACAAAATGGATTGGCCAACTTTCCAAGAGTCCATTCATCAAAAATTTTGCTCGTTCGGTTTGAATTCTTGTATCTGCTGTATTTTGAAAGTCTTCCCATCTAAAACCTTATCCAAATTTTTCCACGTTTTGAGTAAATTTCGTTACAATAGCCCGAATAGCCGTTTTATTTGGGTGGATTAAACTGACCATAAAATGGAAGAAATGCACAGTGAAGTTTCTCAACAGAGCACGCATTTTGATGATGCAAGCGTTGTTGATTGTTGACGATCCATTATTAAATTGAAGATATTTGACAGTGTACAAAAAACGAAACGAGGATGAGCTGTAAAAACAGTATTACCAAAACATATTAATATCTAAAAACTCACCGTTTATTTATTGTAAAGAAACATCTAAGACCCCTTGTTTATTTGAACGAAAATCATTGGGGAGCCTTTTTAACAAATATGAATTATTTGGCATTGTAAAGAAAACGTGAATGAGGTCCTTTTATCAGTTCCATTATTTACGACCTATTGGCAATGCAGAATATAGGTTTTAATGAGATATTCGGTTCATATAATTTGTTAGCTTTTGCTGGGGTTTCATAAAGAGGGAATTCCATAAAGAGAGGAATGCTATACTTACCCGTCATCTTATAGTAGAAGGTGTAAAAATATTTCAACGAAACTGATCAATTTACGAACGCTTTTGAAATTACGTTCTGTCATTATTCCATTCAAATTATTATGGTATCAATAATAACAAAAATGAATTGATAATTACGCTAACAAGTCCAGATTACTGACCTGCCTCAAACTTATACAAATGAGTTGCTGCTGCTGCTAATCAATTAAGCCAATAATACAAAAACCTGTACCGAAAAGGTGTTTGAACCAATCAACGGCGGATTTATGTCATAAATATGCGTTTAAACAACAATTTATTAAATTCGAAGATTTTGACGATGCTATATTCTTGACGCCCTCTAAATAAGCAGTAACCGGTGTTGGTAGACTAATTTAAAAGACTCCCTAACGATGAGGTGTTGAGGACAAGAACACCCACTGGTCTTCAGAACTGGGTCGATATTCCACATCTTCACACCAGATGCTATATTGTTAGACATATTGGGATGTGTGAAATTTAAAGAGAATTGGATGTCATATGGAGTTTTATGAGCTTCTTGTTATTTCAAAATTTTGATCCT